TCGCATCTGGAAATTGAATTCTGAGATATTTGACATACCAGTTAAAAGCAAATTTATGAAATGCAGTTTGCGACTTCAGCAATTTAAACAAGTACAGAGACATTCCCTAGTCTCTTGGGGAATGCTGTCTCAGTGCAGGACAGCAGTTCAGGGCCAAGTCCTGACATCATTATTAATCTGTGAATCACAGATGACCCTAGAGTGACAGATGTCATATGGTGTTTATTACGGTAAGGAGTTGCTTCATTATTTAAAATAAACTCTACATCTGTGTGTTAAATGTACCAACAAAAGCTTATTAAAATGGTCAAACTAAAGAAAATTAGTTCATAAACATGCACAGCGTATAACTTGCTGGAATAATGGAAGTAATCTTTACTTGTATGTCCAATTTCTTGGGCCTATAATGCAGGAAAAATGAAGAGTTGGCTGCCTGAGCTCTGACAAGTGAAAATGATGCAACATTTTTCCCAGGTTACTTTAGAGTCCCAAAAAGTCCAGGTGAAAAAAATAATGCATTTTCTTCAGCTTTAGAAAATAAATGATGCAGAAACTAGAAGTTGAGAAAACTGACAGTTTGCTTCAGTAGTGTAGAAAATATTTAAACATTGCTGATTTCTTTGAGACATTCTCATGTCAGCAGCATAATTTAGTAATTTGGACCAGCTCCCCCAAGTCCCCTTTTAAGTAAATAAATAATAATAGTAATAATAATAATAAAAAATGGGTAAAAACTGGTTTCCAAGTTTACACACACGCTGCATTTTGAACTCAACTTTCTTCCAATGATTCTAATCCATCTTTCATCACTTTGAGACCAACAGCAACACAGGAGGAGATGTTCCAAATATAGTTTTTCTTTAGCAATTCAATCTGCTTGTAACAAAACCCCTTGACATGAGTCCAGGTGGGAAATCTTACCCCTTGCAGAGCCACACTTACAAAAACATTAAAAACTGTCTTAAGTAGTAGCACAACTAGGGAAGGGGGAGCCAGGCACCCACCCTGGGTGCTAGCTGTAAGGGGGCACCGGGAGTCCCCCTGCCAGGAGTCTTTGCTGCAGTACTGGAAGCCCTGTACTGCCCAGCCACAGGAGCTGGGTAGCCCAGCACCATACCAAGCAGTGTGTATGCGGCGAGAGTGAGAGGGGTAGGCAGAATGGAGCCTTTGCCAGAACAGGCACAGCCCTACTCCCAGTACGTACATATGGAGGCTCATGCAGAGCAGACTGAAACAACCTGGAGTGTTTGTGAATTTCCTAGGAACCCAGGGTGGGAAGGAAATCTCAAGATATTATCTATTTCACCTCCAGGCAGGATCAAGTATACTTGACTGTTTCCAAAACACATTTATCTAATCTTATTTTTTTTAAAACCACAAGGGAGGGGCTGCCACCAACATCCCTGGACATCTGTTCCAATGTTTCATCACCCAAATATTTCCCTCTGATCAGCACCACCCAACAAACGGTCTGCAAAAAACCCTACCATAAAGCTAGTGGCCACAGGGAATTAAAAATAGAGGTTGAAAGGGAGGTGGAGATGGAGCAGGGGAAATGCATAATATTACCCACAGTGCACTGTGTGCTCAGTACTCTTGCCCATGGGTGAGAAAAACCTGAGGACCACTATCCCAAGTCCTTTATGGCCTATGGCTCCAGAGTCTGTTTCTCTCCCTAAATGTAAAACTTTCCACTCAACTTTACTGAATTTTGTTCTGTTAATTTCAGACCTTCTCTCCAATTTATCCAGATCATTTCAAATTCTGATCTTGTCCTCCAGTATGTTTGCCAATGACCCCCATTGCTTGGAGTCATCTGCAAATGCTATAACTACACAGAATCTGTATATTTTTAGGGAAAGGGTTGAAAAGAACTGAACTGATGGGCATACTCTTACAGGACTTCAAGATGCCCACCCAGGCGGAAGACCATTTGGGTTTTTTTGAGTGTGTTTTTTCAACCAGCTATGCATCCAGTTTGTGTGTCTAGACTTCCTTCACTTGCTTGAGAACATCATGTAGGAGTGTCAAGATCCTTGCTAGGTACATCATCTGCACTCCTTCCCCTCATCCACTAAACTAATGACTTTGTTAAAAGAGGAAGTGAGATGGGGGGGTGGACAACTAGCCTTAACAAACCCATATTGGCTACTTTTCTATCATCTTATTAGCCTGTGGACCCTGGACAACTGAATATTTTTCCCATAATCTTTCCAGAGATCAAGGACCAAATGGCCTTAAGTTCTGAGTCTATCTTTTCCCCCTTTAAAAAGATAGGCACAAAGGTTGGCCTTCTCTGGTCCTCAGTCTTCCATGAATTCTTCAAGATAATTACTATATTCAAGAACCTGTCAAGAATGAATTTCAGCAGGTTCTGTCAACCTCAAACCATTTATATTATTCAAACATTCTTTAAGCCAGGGTTGCCCAAATGGCAGCCTATGAGCCAAATGCGGCCCACAAGGGTTAATCTGAAACTCCCAGGCTCCCACCCAGCCACTGCTCCTCCTATGACTCCAGCTGCAGTATGTGGATCCCCTGGGCTTCTCCTCCATCTGCCACTTCCAGTGCCTGCACCAGAGGGTGGTGCAGCATGGCACAGACAACAATATAGCAGTGTGCGTGGCCTCTGCTAGAAGTTGGACAGACCTAATCTCTCCTTGCTCATGATTGTGTGCATTGACTAACTGGTCACAATTCTTTTATTTATTTTTTTTGTGAAGACTGAACCAAAGATAACACCAAAATCTTTAGTCTTTTCTGCAGCATTTCTTATTTGTTTACAAAGCCTTTGCCTTGATGCCTACTGTGTTTGTAGAGCCATGCTTGCACCTCTATTTCTTTACTCAGACTTAACCATGTCTGTTTCCACTGGCTGTATGATTTTTCTGATTTTCAAGTTATTCAGTGCAACCATATCACTATCTTACTACCTTATCTTGCTACTTTTCTTTAGCATCAGGAATTTAAACATACTGTATTTTGTATTCTGAAACGTGATATGCCAAATCTCATATTTGTGAAGTCATCACTGACTCATCAGATGCATAAATACTGACAGTTGAAGTACAGTTCACCCCTCAGGCAAAATTCCCATGAGTGTTGCTACCCAAGGAAGGATTTTGAGATGTGGCTCCAAACCAGGCAGCAGGGACAAGGCAGTACTCACCAATAACTACACTGAATTTACAGTAGCTAATGTGTTGCTTTATGCTCCTCACCACACTGGAACTGCCAAAGAGCACCATACTGAAGGCAGCTGTCCTTGAAGAACAGCCAAAAGCCAGAATAAATTGCCAAACATTTACTGTTTAAAGTAATCCCAGAATGGTTTTAACACCCACCTACTTGAATAATATGCATCTATGGTTAATTAAAACCCAGACACAAAAATGATTAACAGAGATCAGTCACTGATTCCATTTCCTACAAAACCTCCCACATTACCGTCTCAAATGAGATCAGACACCATGATTCAGAGGGGAGAGTTTGGAAATTCACCATTTTAAAAACTAAATCTCAATTTTACATGGACTGACTGGATTCTTACTCTTCAAGGCAGGCACTACATGCTATTAATGCACAGCCATTACTTACTTCTTGTCATCTCATCATTCTCTTTGCAAATGGTTTGTTTCAGCTGCTCAATCCTCATCTTGCAAGACATTATTTTCCACCTCTGAAAGAGAACATGCTGTGCATCACAAAATGACTTGGATACAAGCTTTACAATTAACACCAATGCCTACAGCTACGGCGCAAAAAGTACCACCTGTATTTTTAACTGAGTCACACCCTAGGAATTTCAAATGGGTTCTTGTGCAAACAGAAAAAAAAAAGCCATAAACAACAAGGAGCTTCCTGCAGCAAAGGCAGACAATGCAAAGGGCTTCTGACTAAAAACATTACCAAGAGTGGCAAGTAGTGCTGGCTTCGGACAATCTGCGCTTGCAAACCCAATTCAGTTTTGCTTGGATTATACTTTCAGCCACGCAGTACTGTCCTCCCTACAAATTAATCTGAGAGATCAAGGAATCTTAAGAATTGGAAAACTAGTGAAGACTTCAAACAACTCACCAGCTGATCAGTAACCTCCTTCCCTGCCATGGCCTTCAAAACACTGCAAGGGTGGGGGGAAACACAATAGAAGATTAACCAACCATCAGGACAACCCCAAACCAAGTAAGGTATAAGGAAAAAATGCTCCATTTTTCCCTCAAATAATGAAAACACCAGCAAAATTAAAATGATAAACTTACTGTTTTTGGAATTCTCTCTGTTTGTTTTTAAGATGCATTAACCTCTCTCTCTTGTCTGAAAACCTAGAAGAGATTAGATCAATTGATTATTTATATTACACACTTTACACAGTGGGGTGAAGTGGTATCTTGCCATCACTCTGGAAGCAAGAGTCCCAAGTCCTGTTCTAGTCTTAAGCCAAAAGATGCCCCAAATCAACCTGCTGTAGATGGATCCCTGGTCATTTAGGCTGGGGAACAAAGGGAACTTGATGCTAGCCCTCTCTCTCTCGGGTGCTGTCAGATACAGAAACTAGTGTGCCTTAACCATGCTACCTGAAAGCACCACTAGGCTTCAAGCATGGGTGACTGATGCCACCCGAATTGGGACGGCACTTGCTCCTCCAGCAGCCAACAACCGGTTGGAGGGGCAGGAGGGGGCAGTCTCCGGTGGCTGGTTGTACATACCAACCCAGAAGCAACATTTCCTCTAAGCTAGCTCTAAGAAGGAACGCTGCCTGGAAGGACCAGCAACACTTCTCCTGGCGCCCCCACTTCCCAGCCACCACTCTCGGGGGGCGAGGGGCACCTGCCTGCCACCCATGCCCGCTGCCTAAGCAGATGACGCTGGCTGTGAGGGGGCGCACCAGCATTCTCAGGTGGTACATGTGCACCCCCTACGCATTGCCACTGGGCTCAAGGAAATCTTTGTATCATCTCATTGTATAAAGTCAAAGCATCAGAAATATTATTAAGAATCCTGAAGCTTAGCACCATCTATGTCCCTTCCTTTTTTCTTAGCCTCTGGTTAAGTTATGGTTAAATTCACATAAATCCTTATGGGATTCAAAGATATCTTTTCCACCATAATATTAAGTGGACCCCTTTGTTGCAGAAACATCTGCTAGTTTTAACATCAAAAGGTGTCTCTGTTATCCTTAAAAAGTTTGCAGCTGAGCAATAAAAATTATGTTACAGATTTAAAGGAAAACTCATACATTTCAAAATTATTGGCAATTTAAGATCTAAAGAAAACCCCAAAAGTATATTCTAAATTCAAAACATTGAAAATCATGCACATTTTCACAAGTCTTCAGTTTATTAAAGGAATCCATCCTGATATTAAAAAGGCTATACATTAAATGCAGATTTTCACACATTATACCTTACAGAAGTTAGAAGGGGGAAAATGTATCATGGACAGTACTAATATTTTAATGGGTATCTAGCACTGTTTGACATACCACCGAGCAGTAACTCCAAGGACAGCAGCACCATGTCAAGGAATTTATCATAACTATATTTTACTTCTGAAGCCCTTGATCCAACTCTTACTTTAGAACAATGTTTTTCTGTCCACTCCTCAGCCCTAGCACACATTTGCATCCATCACAAAGCCGCCATACCCCTGTCAACCCAAGTTCCTCCAAAGCCTAAGGTTTGAAGTTTGTGAACCTCTGAGAATTACTTGGAAGACAGTCATCATATGATTTCAGCCCTCAAACACATGACTGTCTCTATTCAGCTTCACCTGTCAGGTGCAGAAAAACACACTCGGAGCGTAGTCTATGAACAACCTAGGTAGGCAAACAATAGTTTCATAGTTGGTAGGGTTGGAAGGGACTTGAGTAGATCATCAAGTTCAACTCCCTGCCATGGGCAGGAAAGAATGCTGGGGTCAAATGATCCCGGCTAGGTGTCTATCTAGCCTCCTTTTGAAGACCCCCAGGGTAGGAGCAAGCTCCACTTCCTTTGGAAGTTGGTTCCAGATCCTAGCCACCCTGACTGTGAAGCAGCGCCTCCTGATATCTATCCTGAATCTACTCTCTGTCAACTTATGATCATTATTCCTTGTTACTCCCGGTAGTGCTCAGGGGAACAGGGACTCTCCCATTGCCTGCTGGTCCCCCTTGGTCAGTTTATAGATGGCCACCAGATGCCCCCTCAGCCTTCTCTTGTGGAGGCTGAACATGTTCAGGTCTCGTAGCCTCTCCTCGAAGGGCCTGTCCTGTTGCCCCCTGATCATGTGAGTGGCCCTCCTCTGGACCCTCTCTGTGCTGTCCACTTTCCTCCTGAAGTGCAATGCCCAGAACTGGACACAGTACTCCAACTGCGCCCTGACCAGGGTCGCACAGAGGGGGAGGATCACCTCCCTGGACCTGCTTGTGATGTATCTGTGGATGCATGACAAGGTGCGATTAGCTTTTCTGACCATGTCCCCACACTGCTGGCCCATGTTCATCTTGGAGTCTCACTCCAAGATCCTTTTCTGCCTCTGTGCTGACGAGAAGGGAGTTCCCCAGCCTGCAGGTATGCTGCTAGTTCTTTCTCCCTAGGTGCAGCACCCTGCACGTGTCAGTGTTGAATCCCATCTTATTCTCATCCGCCCACCCCTGCAACCTGTCCAGATCCAATTGCAGCCTGTC